TTTTTTTTACAAAAAAATAACTTAACAAGAACAACTTGATTTACGTAACAAAAGCAGTAAGGCCTTTATCAAAACAAGATCACTGGCAACCTTGCTGCCTTTCAAAGACCAGGTCACTGAACAGACAACTGTGAAATGGTCTTTTGCATGCAGGAATAGAGGATTGGTGAGTTTCTAAATGTGGAGGGGGGGGGGGGCAATTGATGGCGACCAAGTCATTTTGTACAAAATGCCGAAATTGCTGTATGCAAAGAGAAAGCTTTTTTATCACAGCTAACTATGTCTACAATAATATTGTAAAACAGAATAAGTCAAATTAATAATAGACTGAGTTAAATATATAAACAATAGTGAGGGTGGTAAAGGGGGGGTATAGATCACGTTTCACAGAAAATAAAGGAGCCCTTTCACAATTCACAAAAAATACAACATTGGCATTCCATGCTTCACGGAAAATGAAAGAGAACGTTTTGGAAAATCACGGTTCACGGCGACTATGGAAATCACGATTCACGAGGAAAAAATTAGCCATTTCACATTTCACTGGAAAAAAAGGGCCGATCACGAGTCACGAAAATACCCTTTACCACCCTCAATAGCCTCCATTTGGTTAGGAAATATGCTTGGATATTTGTCCACGGACATTGTCTGTTCTGAGAAGTGAATAGTTTTCTGAGAGCGTGGCTCGAGGAAAAGTGTGAGCTTTGAGCAACAGATAATATCCAAGGACAAATGGAAGCTATTTTGTTTATTATCCTTCAAATATTTTTCCCAATAATGACGCACAGTTTTGAAAATTGGGAAAGATCACTTGGATATTCCCCAGCTGGGGAATATTGGTCACATGATGCGTTTAGAACAATCGCACATGAGCGGAAATATTTGATGGATTATAAGTAAGCATATCCTTGAATAAAATGCAGTCCACAAACAACTTAACACTCAGTAGAAGTCGTAGGACAGCCAAAAAAGTCTGGAATTATAGCTTATATTAGGGCCTAGGGACGCCACAGTTTTCATCAATGCCATAGTTCTTTTTATATTTTTGTTAAGAAAGGGTAAGTTGATTATATAAGCTTAATTGATTCAGCTGATGTTTTTCCAACATTTTAAACTGAACCAGAGGCATTTGACTGAACATATAGACACGTGCAAGTACGTTTACAACTGCTTATTTCATTAACATAATGCCGCAGTTTCTCATTATTAGGCTCCACTGAATATTTTTAAAGCAAATTCATCAATGTACTACCCAGTAACATACTCACCTAGATCAAACACTACTAGTTTTGGAAGAAAATCTTCGCCATCTTCCTCCATGGTCATTCTTTTATTATCGGACTAAACTAGTGTTCAGTCTTTGGTGAGAAGACAGAGGTAAACTGGACCTGAGGAAGGGGACAGCGGTCCTTCATCTTGACCAAATTGCAAACTTTGTCATTTCATATCAGAAGTCTTTACAATGATTGTTAGCACTACATGTCAGTTTCTTGGACTGAGGGACTTTTATTTTTCTTTTCGCAAACACCTTTTGATTCAAGTTCCTGAAATTTAAGATTAAGGAGAAACAATTTTTTCTTTTTGATGACTGGAAGCCAGCCAACTCTTTTTAATTTGTTTTGATTATGATCCTATCTTTTTTTAAATAATTGTTTCTGTTTAGCATAATAGTGCAAGTTGTTTTTTTTTCTTTATGTAGTATGTGTGTATTTGCTAATATGTTATGTATGTACTTGGCCCTATCTTTTCCCGTTTGTTTGTTTTTTGTTTGTAATTTGATCATTAGTTGACCTTAGTTCAACTTAAGGTGTGCATTTTATTTTTTTGGTACAAATAAAGTTGTTCCTGATGAAAATTATACATTTCTCAACAAACAAGTCTCCGGGATCGGAATTGAGAATTTTTTTTTTTGCATGCTTGACCCCGGGTGCTTGATCACAGGCACTTGACAGCATATGATTGTCATGTAAATGCTCTTGTTTATGTTTATGAAGATCCTACTGTACATTTAAAAGTCACTAACAAAATCTACAAAAAAAGTATGATCATGGTTTGAGCGTCCTCACTGTAATAAGGTGAAACTCGCTTTTTTTGGTTAGATACATCCATAGCTTAGAAACGCAAGCTATTACCTAAGAATTTCACACATTTTTTATTACCTTAAGTTGGAATACCCTGTAATACCTTAATTTCCCCCAAACAAAGAACTTTGTTTTCATAAAAGGATGATAATCCATTGTGTCAATGGCTAACATTGAGCTTAATCCAGAAGAAACATTTACCTTGGAGTAGTTACATAATAAGTTCTAAACAACAACTCCTATTTCCATGTTTTGAAATTTTCAGAGGTTAAGAATTACGTAATAATCTTTCCCTTCACAAGTTCGTTGAGTTTCAAATTAATTCAAGTTAATTAAAAATTCAGTCTGTTAACTGTAAAGTTTGCCCAAATACTGAATAAATATATGAAAGAGGTCAAGCGAAAACAACACGAACTTTTCAAATTGTATTCAATTTTTATTGTGACGTACTTTACAAATGTATATCCAGCGGGTCAATTTTTCTGTGACCAGTAACACGGTTTGTCCAAAACCAAGCCATCAAAATGAATGAAGCTACTGGCAAAATTATTTGTATCTATCGATATAGTAATTTCTTCGCAAGTAAATAACTCTGTAGCTTTCTATTTCAACTTTCGTCACAATGTTTGTTTGTTACGCTCGAACTCATTAATATGCAGAAAACTGTCTGCGTTTGCGAAGAATGAATGGCGTCTTTAAACCGTTTGGCATCGCACGAAATGTTACAAATAATGATTTATTTTGCTTGCTTTCAATCGCTTAGGACTGAAAATCCTCGTCAAATGTTTTATCAGCAATATAACGTTAACGGACTGTTCAAATGTTCTTGATCACGTTCACGGAATCGTTCCTCGGACATCACAGAAGTGTAAACAAAGGATATCTGCAACCGCAAAACCTGGTTTTCCGAGAAAATTCAAGTTCTTCCTGTAGTTCGTTGCTAACTGCTATTCAAATGCATCCGGATTCAAAAATCACAAGATTCGCAAGATCGACTTCTTAATAACGTGATCCACAAAACCAAAAGATCCTCGTCATCTGCAGCGATCGAGTCGTTTCAACTGTTTACTTCGACTGGGAGAGGTTTTCAACCTTCGCACGGCTTCTTTTATCAAATTTCCCTGTTCTATCAGTTCCATTAGTAAGCCGTAAGATGAAGAAGACGATGTAGACTTTCTGAAAGGGTCTGCTGTGGGACAAATGCAAGCCCGGAGTGTTATTTCGGTGTCGTCCGTCGGAGGACGCTCACAGTCTACAAAGATAGGATCGTAATTCATTTCTTCCGCCTCCTTCTGATTCACTTGGAGCAGGTCGCGAAAATCCGCAATTACTGACTCCATTCCATCATTTTCACCTTTCTTTAACCATAAACCTCCTTGGCAGTAGCTTTTCGTTGAAGGCATGGTGATCTTGAGGACACGAAAGGAGAATTAAGAAGGTATTTTTCGGCGGACAGAAACGTAAACAGAACGAAACTGTTGACAGTACGTTGTGTTATTGTTTAGCCGATTGAAAGGAACTACAACGCTGTCTTTGAGCACGTGGAAGAGGTATTTGCAAAAAACAAAGAATCTGATTGGCTAAGAGACAATGCTGTGACTGATGATATCTGCTCGGCCTTGGCTTCGATTGGCTTACACCTGCAAGGCCACACCATACAATGTCATATTTATTTTAGTCTTTTCAATGGCGGGAAACAGAACGATCAAAGTTCGATTTTAACTCGAAACCGAAAAATCGTAACGAAATTTAGCGATAAGTGCCGGAAGTTGAAGCATTTTACCCCTCAAATAACGAATTTCTTTTCATTTTCCTATAAATAACGACCCAAGTCATGTGATGAATTTTTAAAGGCATTTAGATTTTCGAGTTTTGTTTCGCAGGTCAGCATTTTTCATGAAAACAACTGGTGAAAATCTAAGCTAAACTACACTGGCGTTACGCATTATAATAGATAGCTGACTTGATTCGTAGGCTCTTCGAAGTAACTACAACTCGCCTTAGCAAGAGGCAAGAAGTAGGTCGGGCAATCTAGCAATTATCAAAATATATGAAGGGATAGAAAAACTGGAAACGGATAACCTATAAAATGGCTGGAGAGAGAAACTCTAGAAAGTGCTCAGTCATGAACGATGCAGTGATGAAATTTTTCAACATGTCATATCATATCACACAGTCAGCAAATTCGTAGACACTGTGTTACGTTTTCAGAAACAACTCATCATCACGCTTAAAAATGTTTGAAGTTGCGTGGAATTTTTTTGTCCAAATTCTATTTTTACCCTAAACCAATTTGCCTTATCTCTCACCCAAAATAATATTGGACGGCGCAAATATTACACGTTACAGTTGACTTTTCTTAGGTCAACCCAATAATAACTGATGTTTCGTAAAAAGAAAAGGAATGTCAGTAAAAAACAGTGAAACTTCAATAAAACGTCAGCAGTGAGAAGCTGTTGCTTTAATTACAAGCAGTTACTTTTCATTTCGTATAGGCAGGTTAAATTACTGCTGCAGATCATTTTTCACTGGCTAGCTTCCGGAACCTCTAATAATTACGATACAAAAAGTTTTTCAAAACTTTATAACGGTCACTTTTGAAAATCCATGCTGACTAGCGTACGAAACGTCAAGTTCATTATAAAATACGTTGGACTACATTGTTTATCACGGCTGTTGATATTATATTTTTAATCAAGCTCAAGAAATTATGATATCTTGTCAAGCTACCCTGGGCTTGTCGCCTTGTCGTGGTGGTAGAGCTTGCGTGTCTCAGTGACCCCAAGAGCTATGCCTGGTGGGTTCAACCGTGCCGGATTGGTCGAGGGATAGAGACCTGACAAAGGACAGCCCTGGTCCTCCAGGTTGGGGGTTGGGCGTTAGGCTAATCACCTAACTTCGTAAAAAAATAAATGATCACGGAAACCTTGCACATTAGAGGCAATCTACCGAATCTTGGGGGCCGAGTGGCATACAACATGACGCTCCAGAGCGAAACCCGCATGGAAACTCTGGAGCCGAGGACGCCAATAGTGCACCCAAAAACACAGTTGAGGACAGGAAACTGGAACGTGAGAACCTTGTATGCACAAGGGAAGACAGCCCAAGCGGCGAAAGCAATGAGAGAGGCTAAGTTGCAGATAATGGGTATAAGTGAAAGCAGATGGTGTGGATCGGGGAAGTTTATTCTCAGTACAGGTGAGACAATAGTGTACTCTGGCAGAGACGACGAAGTTCACCAACATGGCATGGCCATCATGCTAAACAAAGATGCAGCAAAAGCATTGATCAACTGGACACCTATAGATGAGCGAATAATTCGAGCCAGATTCCACTCTAGGTATGTCAAGTTAACGCTGATCCATGTCTATGCCCCCACTAATGACACTGATCAAGAGGTGAAAGATCATTTCTATGAGAAGCTCCAGGCAAAAGTGGAAAAAACACCGAAGCACGATTTGCTGGTTATCACCGGAGATCTGAACGCAAAGGTAGGAAGCGATGTAGAAGGATACGAAAGAGTAATGGGTAAGCATGGAGTTGGAACCAGGAACGACAATGGCGAGAAACTATGCGATTTTTGCGGCATGAATGACCTGGTGATCACAGGTACGATATTTCCACATAAGGAGATCCATAAACAAACTTGGATATCTCCTGATAGACGCACCTGCAATCAGATAGACCATGTGTTAATCAACAAGAAATTTAGAACATCTGTGCTGGACACAAGAGCCGTAAGATCAGCTAATATCGCCAGTGACCACCACCTGGTTTGCACCAAACTGAGGTTAAAGCTAAAAGCAGCTCCTAAAAGACGTGGAATTAGAAGGGCGAGATATGATACTCAGAAGCTGGAGAACGATGGGTGTAGGAGGCAGTTTCGTTTGGAACTAAGGAACAGGTTTGAGATATTGCAGAGGGAAGAGCTGGAAGATGACGAAACAGATCAGCCAGAAGCTGAGCTGGAGAAGGCAAACGGCATCTTAGAGAAGGCTTACAATATGACAGCAAAGAAAGTTCTAGGATATAAGACAAAGAAAGGTAAGCCATGGATTAGTAAAGAATCGTGGGATCTGATTTCGCAGAGGAAAGCGATAAAAACTGATAAAACTTGATGGAACCAACTCCGAGAGATT